TGTTTTCGTCACGGAGAAGCGAGGACACGAAGCTCTAACTCTAACTCCAAAGCTGAGACGTCCATAGCACCTCACACTCCGGTCATTCGGAATGATGGTCAAATGGGTGGATTTCAGGTCTAGCATAAATCTTCCAGTCGGACAGGGTCTGGATCAGGGACGCCGTTTCCACACGTCGTTCCGGCACGTGGTTTCGGTGTCGCGACAAAGAGCCGGTGGTTTGGTCGATCCAAACGGTTGGGGAATCACTTCTCCCGGATCCAAGTACTGTACCTTCTCAGATGATTGGAGACTAATGTATAGGCGCCAGGAGGGCCCAGTCGTACCTCAGAAGGCATGTGGATCCCTATAGGGTCTACCAAGATAGCAAGACTTGCGAAGTCATGTCCTAGGCCGACTGTTTGATCCGGCGTAGAATTCACTGGAGCAGCTGGGGCAGAGGAGTTCGCACGCTCCGAACTCAGGATGTTGAAGTTTAATGGTTGCACCATTCCTGAAGCTTGGCAACTGAAGCAGTTGTGTCTCTTACGTAATCAGACTTGGTCCAAGTGCCATGGGTTGGTGGATCCAAGAATAGGACACTGACATGGTTTCTTCAGGTGCTTCCATGGTTAGATCTCCCCACAACAATGGGAATACATGAAAGATACTGCGGAAGATCCCCAAACACTCCTGGTATGGCACATACACTTATTGACCCATCTACTTGACTCCTTTCTAAATACCACAACTGGAAGTCTGGTGGCGCAGTGGTATTTTCCTCCGCATCCAAGAGACTGAAGACTTCAAGATGCATTTTCTTGGCAGATTTGGTCACAAGGCACCAGGCTGCTGCTCCTGATGTTGCTGCGGCTGGTAGTTCGCTGCTATTACTGCTGATTTGTTGCATTGCTCGTTGGTCTTGTCTTTTGCTGTTGGTTTGCTGCTCTGCTGGTTTGCTGATGCTGATGCTGGTCGTTTGCATTAACAAAATACCGACTTTGTTTTTTTCATTCTGATTGGATGCATACACTTGTTGTTGAAACGTATTATGTTGCTGCTCCTTCTTCTCACCAGAAATCCAAGAGGTACGACGACCTTCCGTTCACCCCAGTCAGCTCAGGAAGCTGGATTGAACATGATCCGCCTTCACTCCTTCTACCCCTGGCACGACAAGCGCGCCTATACCCACTTCGAAAGTCCGGAGGACGAAGTGTGAACAGGGGTGATTTAGGGTGATGGTTTTAGATGTGTCCTGATGTTTCAACCTTTACCTGCCCTAGGGATCCAGTCGTACCTTCTCAGGTACGGTGATTGGAGACTATGTAGGCTTGAAGGGCCCAAGTAAGGTATGTGGATCCCTAGGCTTGGGATGAAAACCATCACCGATGTTTCAACCGGTCCACGGGTCAGAACAGATGTTTCGTTCTTCGTGTTTCGTTGAAAGCCATTTGGGAGTCTCGGATCATCTCCAACGGCTTGAGTATCAAACTGTGTCCCACAGCCATGCCACGAAATGGACAGCCATCGGTGGTCTTCGGATCGGCTACCCATTTGAGCACCTGGTTCTGTTCATTCTTGCACATGTGGAGGACTTGGTGCTTGGTACATCTTGGTACTCTCGAGACTCTTTGGGTTTGTACGTTCAAGACCTTCTCGACTCCAACTGATCGGTCGAGATACCAGTTCCACGGAGTGTTTGGGGTATCAATAGATTGTCGATAGTATTGTGAATAGTACACCGATACCTGATTCTTACTGGAAAAAGTTGGCCGAGCGCGGTTCTGTTCACGGTTCTGAGCACTTGCAGGATGCCGAGACCTTGAAGTGGGTGAAGGAATTCAACAAGTTCGACCTGTACTCCAAGGGCAGCTCGTGCAGTCTTCAGCGTTGGGTTTGATGTTTGTGCAAGAAGGGCAGGACAAACAGATACAAGTGCGCAACAAGTGGATACACTCGATGGACTCCATGGGACTGGATGGACTCCATGGGGCTTTCTGCAAAAAAAAAACATCCACCAGCGAGATGTCTCCACAACAAAACGCACATGGTTTGGTATGGTTTTGTTGTATGAAAAGCGTTCATGGGACATCATGCACCAAACAAAAGCGTGAAAGAGAGTTATGTACAGAGCCTAGAAAGCCGGATACAAGTTTCAGTCGTGGTTTGACCCAAATCCACAGAGTTCTTTCAACAACCTCGCTTGCAGGAAAGCATCCAACAATGAACTGGACCTCCACCCAAATGCTGGGTGAAAAGAGCCTTTCTGAAATCGGGCAAACCCTACCAGGGGCGCCACAAACCATCACAACACCTGGAAATTCCCGAACACACAAAACATCATCAGAAAACCTATAAGAAAACATATGATGTTCTTTCTATATGTGAAACCCGCTCTTAGTTCATGGGACGCCGGATGGACTGCTTTTCGACACCGGTGCGACCAACGGAGTCGAATCGCCGTTCCGATCGGACGAGACGAGCCCCGCAGCGAACGTTTCGCGGTCCCGGTGCCGCAGTTGTTGCGTCGCTAATAGTATAGCTTCTTGTTACTAGCTAGCCAAAAAGCTACTAATAGCGATGCACTTGCTCCGTTCGGTGACATTTTGTCCTTTGTTACTATAGCGAACATTGCTACTTTGCTGGGGTTGAGCGTGATAGCTCCTGTTGCTAGGTGAGTTGACAGACACTGCGCACCAAGACAGAAACAAAGAAAGATGAGCAGCTCGTTGAGGGTCTTCTGTAGCTTATCAACAACTTCCCACAGCCCTTGGGGTTGGTTTCTTCCTGGCACTGCACTCCTTAAATAGAACCTCCTCCCATTTTCTGGACCCGGATTCATAGGGCTTTATATGGCATCTAGAAGGCTCCCTCATTCTCCTGAGTCAAGAACTCTTATTCCACCGACCCTCCCAAAACGCAATTTGTCATCACCCCCCTACCAAAATAGAGATGGATCTTCAATCCCAAACACTCAATGTAAGCTGATTTCCCCCATCAGGGTCGATTATAAGGTATTTATGTGTGACATTGTTATATCTCATAATTCTGCCGCGGGAAGACTGGGAACGTTTGCTTTCCGCTTCCATCGTGCGGAATCAGGCGATGCCCTGCCTGATGTGGAATCGCTGAAGCCGTACTACGCCAAGCTTTTGAAGAAGTCTTTCGGAGCGGTTCTGGAGTCTGGTTTGTGTTTTTCTTCAGATGTTCATATGCTTGTGATATATAACCGTGTTTGAAGCGTTTTTTTTTGAGTCTGGAGCGTTTGTTTGTTTTTTCAACCAAAGATCACGTGATGTGGATAGAAAGCGACACCTCTTTGGGAGGCGTGTAGTTGTGTAAATGCTGTTGTATGGGGAGAAGTCTCAACCCTTCGAAGCGTGGCTTGAAACTGGACAGTTACGTTCTTTGAAATCAAGCCCTTGTGCCATTTTGTGTTTGAAATCAGGAAAATCAGTGACAAATCCAGGGGATCAAACGCGAAGAGGTAGCCACTTCAAGATGGGTTGGGGCTCAGCCAAGCAACATGGGCATGCTCAGCCAAGCCAAGCCTTGATGTTCATATGTTTCGTTTGTCCCAGGAAACCTGTGGAGTTGAAGTTTTACCAGCTGGTAAAATCACTTCAAGATGTTATTATTTTTGTTCAGTAGTTTTTTGTTAATATGGAATTTGAATGAACACAACTACGTGTAAATTTATGATTACATACATATTTCATTGTGTGCTAGTGTTTGACATAATAATATAATAATGTATGAATTAGGTTTATACGTTATGTCATTAAAACACACAAACACGATAATACACATTGACATCATTAAAACAAATCATAACATGTATACAATCAGTCTTAAAATCATAATGAGTCATATCATGTTCAATTAATTGAATGGCTCTTTCCTATTTTTGTTCATGAGGTTCATGATCAAATATGAAAACATTATGATCAATTTAGGATGTTTGTTGATGAAGCCATGATATGGCCAAATTGTTGGTTCTTGGTCATGTCCTTTTATGTTGTTTGGTACGACTTTATAAACTTGGTCATATCTATTTCATCAACACATTCTAGTGAAGTCATATGTATGTATGTATGTATATACGTGTTTGGCTTTACCGGACTTGTCCGATCTCAATTGTAGAGCCGTCGGTCAACAAGAACATCACTATTTTAGAAATGGAAAGTCCTGCCACCAGGTCACCAGGCCCCATCATCAGCCATTGAAACCTGGTGATATACCAGGTATACACCATCATATACCATCATATACTCACCTTTGAATACAAGTCCAACCTAACCAGCATATACCATCATATATTTGGTGATACACCTCCTCCAACCCAACCATCATATGCATATACCCAAGAGTTCACACATTGCCACAACAAAAATACATAACACGTGCGAACGGGGATACTTTAGGTACATTGAAGACTTGAGGTATTTTGTGTAGTACCTGTTTGCTCCCTAAGGGGATCGAACATGTCCTTTCCAGGACCAGTTTGTTTCATATCAAATCCAGATCCAAATCTGTGTTTCTTTCTTTTGGGATGCAGGTCGGGTCTCCGATCCGGTCGTTTACTCATGGGTCTCAGTCGCTATGACTCCCGCCATATACTTGTTGCTATGACTCCCGCTACTTGACTTGGGGGTGTTCTTGCCCAACTCATACGACTCCCATCGACTCGTGACCTTCTTCTTTTTGGCAGCCGTGACTCCCGGAAGAATAACAAAACATGCAACAACATGTATATGAGGAAAAAAAAACACAAACCACCAGGTCGTAGAGGAATATAGTCTTCCAAAGGTTCACTTTCAGCTTCCATGTGGGTCTCTTCCCCCGGTGGCACCTCGAGAACGAAAACGTCGACCGAAGACTCGAAGTCTCGTGGCACCTCGAGGTACAACCTCGATGGCAAGCTGAAGTGGTGAGCCACGAGAGCCGAGAGCCTCGTTCCCAGGTCGGTGACCACGATCCTCGGTTTGTGACCACGAAACGAACCAAATGACAGCAACAGACCATGTCGGACGGCGTTTTTCTTGGTCTATTTGGAACGTTTCAAGTGACTCTCTCCAGGAGGTTAGGACGTTCATGGGGGCGAGACCTGTGCAAGGTGTGGTTGTTCCGAACACAAACGAGATGCGGCTGGAACGTCGAAGGTTCTGTAATACCCATCAAAGGGAGGCGATGTTCTATTTCCATCTATTTCCACATAACCAAATCCGTGTTATTTTTCAGGGCATGTAGCATGTACCCATGGGGCATGATTGACGATCGTAGGCTTGCTTGAGAGGCTTCTAAGAAGGCCAAACCATCATCGCTATAGCTCACGGCACGTGCACTCCTCCGGTCGGTTGACCTGGTCCACCGGGACGTCCGGTCCATCCGGCCGTCCGGTACTCCAGCGTTACTCGTCTGTGGGACCGGGGGGTAGCCAGGACACAGTCGGACACCTTTGGCATCCAAGGCCCCGATAGAAAAGGCGGGGCCCCGCTCGTTGAGATCGCCAGCCGACTTCGCCAAGAACTGGCGCAGCTCCCAAGAGCCAATGCAGTTTGGCGGAGATCACGTCTTTTTGGGGGTGGCACATCAGTAGGTTCAGAGAGGATGGAATGAACTTAAAAAAGGAAAAACATGGAAGACCATATTTCGATTCTCTAAGGCTTCAGCTTCAACTACCTGATGGGGTGTTCGGGGTGGGCGTACGGAGGGTCTAACTGCCTTCTGAGAAATGTAAGTGAGACCACCTGAGTTTGGAGCCAATCATTTCTTCTTGTTTTTGGAGAAAAATGACGCACGGGTGTGTTGTGGGGGAAGTTCCTTTGGGGGGAAGTGTCCCAAGCCGCACATTGTCATTCCTGGTTGTTCAGGTTGTTGTTCTCAGCGGTCAACCTTGAATCTTCCTTGGTGATCGGTTTTCCCATTCAAACCGGAGAAGTGGGAAGTTTGGTTATAACTAACTTATACCCTTGATATTCCCGGGAAAGGGCTCAGAACGGTAGTGGTAGTAGTAGTAGTAGTAGTAGTAGTAGTAGTAGTAGTAGTAGTAGTAGTAGGAGTAGCAGTAGCAGTAGCAGTAGCAGGAGCAGGAGCAGGAGCAGGAGCAGGAGCAGCAGCAGCAGTAGCAGCAGCAGCAGCAGGAGTAGTAGTAGTAGCAGCAGTAGCAGTAGTAGTAGTAGTTGTTGTTGTTGGTGGTGGTGGCGGTGGTTGTTGATCCAAGGTTGAGCCCTTTTGCGCCCATCTCGCTGTGACCTGTGAGGGGCCTGTTGCACGATTGGCACCACAGCCACCAGCCATCAACACGTCAGCCCTGTTGGAGTCCAACGGACACCCCAAAACATAAAACCATCAGCAGGACAGGAGGCGGTGAATGTTCCTGGCTGGGTAGGCAGTGTGCACGAGCTACTTTTGTTTCAGACAGCTCGTAACATTTGAACTCAAGTCGCATGTCTGTCGCCAGCGGCCAATTCGTTGCAGACAATTCATTGGTCGATCTCCATAGATTCGAACTTTAATGGTTCTTGAGTCTCACAGAGGTCCCATCATTGCATGACAATTCGGAATTCATCATTGCATGACGCCTCAGCCACTGCGTCAGCGAGAATCTGTTTTGCCTTAGCGTCCAGCATCCATCGCGCCGAGTTGAAAAAGGAGGTTCGAGACGCAGCTCCGCAGCCTTTCAGTTCTCGTCGCGGGGCGGGTTCCTCCCAGCGCAACTTCTGAAGAGAACTGTGAGACGACTCTGAGGATGGAGGTTCATTCCCGGTGGTACTAAGGATCCAAGGAGCAAGGACGCTACTACTGGGCTGGCCTTACTACTAGGAGCGATCGGACGCTACTAGGATCATTTGGCTAAACTTAACATGACTTGGTCCTTGGTGTTAGAGACGAACCGACCGCAGAACGCGGTGCGTAACCGCGCGTCGCTTCGCGCGGTGCTTCGCGAGTCGCGGTGCGTAACCGCGCGCCGTTCCAGGAGCGTTCTGATTTGGGACTCGCGCTCGGGGGATACGCCCATTGGCTGGCTGAGTGACTTGGATCATGGCCAGACCACGTATACATATATACCTTTAATATAGTAAATACATGTAAATACCTTTCCACATACCTTAATAGAGACTATACCTAGAACCCGAGTGACTGCTAAAGCATCCGAGCACACACCACAAACCGTGGTCTTTCTTTTCAAGACAGGTGTATACCTCCCAGGGCTTGATAAGGTATACTTTGACGCCTGCAACCACCCGCACTTGCAGACCATCGGTCAAGATGTCACCTTGGAGAACATCAGATCGATGCTTCAGGTGCCCCTGGTTCTTCAGTTCAGGTGTAGCATCGAGCTGCAGAACTGGGCCTTCGAACCATCCATCTAAAGTGGACAAGGGAACTGCGAAATGGTCCCAACCGGGCAGGTCAAGGTCCCAACAGAAGAAAGAGGCCGTATTTCTTGACGCAATACATGTTGGGAACAGATCTGACCGGAAAGTGAATCGTAGTGAATTTCCCTGATTTTGTACTGACTAGTCTTAAGGTCTTGTATCTGATTTTGTACTGAACCACCATGTTAAGGAGGCTGAGAGTCGTGATTTTGGAGAACTCCCACTCAAAATCCAATAGGTGGACCCAACAGTTTGATTATGTTTGATTGGCCGAATGATTGGGAACACAGGGATTTCCCAGTAAGTGCGTCAGTTGGGAAGTCACTGGAGTGCAGGGTTGAGACTGGGTCTGACCCCCTGGTGAAGTAACAAGAAGTCACTGCACTGAAGTCTAAAACGGTTTTCTTCCCATACGTAATGCCGAACTTTGAACAGCCAACGAACTCCTCGGACTTGTTGGCCTTGACAGCTCCCCGTCCCTTCACCAGCCATCCCAGCGTCTCATCCCAGGTGGCATCAACATCTCTGGCGACTCCATGGATATTTCCCGCGACGGCCGTACCCTTCTGGTAGGCGCAGACGTCCCGCGCAGAACACCGCGCAGACGTCCGACGCGGGTACATGCACGTGGGGAGAAGAAAGAGGGGAGCCAAGGGAGGGACCTTCCGAAGAGCTGCAGTTAGAGATGAAGAAGAGGAAGAAGAAGACAACCACTCAGAGGTTGGAACGAGGAATTTCACGTCGGGCTGTGCCCAGACTTATCCCTTAAGCCAAGATTAGACTATGTCCAAACTATATATAACATAATATCTAATAATATCTAATTATAATTAACTATATATTTATATGCTCTTTGATATTTTACATCCTAACTAATTACTATCTAAGCCGATATCTTTGTTTGACTATTTCGTTCAGCAGAAGGGGCCGCCATTCAGGGGCCGCCAATGGACCTGCGTTTTGAACACATATATATAGATTTAAGCTAGATTGAATGTCCTTGAACAATTAGATAGTTGTGGACAACATGACTATGAAAAAAATAAACATAATTAAAACCAAAAAACTTGAGAACAAAAACACACATGTAAAACACAAAAACACACACACACACCCCTCAAAGACTCTTACTCTTGGCTGGACTCCTTTTGTTTTCCAAGACATTTGGTAACACAGTGGTCTTTTTTGCTTTCTAAAGGGTTTTTCGTGTCGTTTTTGTGTTTTTCTCGAGGTTGGGTGTTCTTTCCAATGCAACTTGTGCTATTCATGCCTTGTTCAACCTCAAAGCATTTGAGCCTGACTCTCACCTGAAGTCTTCTCTCATATTATGAAACTGTATTGAACACAAGGAAGCTGTAGTTGTGATTCAATTTTAGTTGCTTTTGCTTCTGCTTTGTCACTCCAAAGCGTTGTCCACTTGCGCATCTTGTAGCTCAAGCTTTGTACATCATCGTGCCTTTTTTGCTGTTTCTTTGTGGTTGCTGAGTGGCCATCACATCCACATGGCCAGTCTGGAATTGCATGCCACCATCATATTACTTGGGAGTGCTCCTCATTTCCGCACCGTATTCCGAGGTGCAAGCATTGCCCGCAGCGTTGGAAACCCTCCAGATAAATACTGATGCGAACGTTGAATTTCGGCCTGCCGGGCGCAAAGACCGCTTGCTGCAACCGACTCCAGATGGCTCTAGCATGTGTTGTGTTAAATTCTCTATTTACACTACATACCTCCAACATGTGCGTGTGAAATTTTGAAACACCCGTGTGCTTTCCAAGGCTTGCCTAGAAACATCTATATAACGTATATAAAAACCAATGGCTCACAAATCCTGGCAACCAACAAACTTCCAGCTGATTAGATGAACATGATGAACAACTTTGAAAAGCGGTTCAACATCTTAATAGTAAAACCAACCACAAGTTATTTAGAAGGGACAAACTGGCCGAGACGAGTCCAAACAAAAACAGCTTGGCGGAAGATGGTGTCAAACCGACCCCGATCGGTGGCGCGAGCGAGGCAGCCATCGGAGCGTGGACCCCTTGCAACTCTTCGATTTGCGGATGATCAAAGATGCCGAGGACTCCGCCAAACAGGCGGCGAGACCACCGAACGCATGCGTTTCCCGAGGTGTTTTTTTTTTCAGCACGGGTGGATGAAGATGGGATGAAGTGGGCGAGTCGTGACATGACTCACTGCAACAGAACAAATTTTGGGATTGATTAGATTTTTTGTGTGTTTGCTGCGCTTTGTCCTCCCATGGTTTGAATTTGCATGAGGAGAGCAGGGTTCGTTCAACCAGTCATCACCCATTTTCTTGCACAGACAGATTCTTGGTTTCCAGAACTCCTATTAAGCACCAACACCGTTCCCTTCCAACAAAAAATCCGGAGTTTCCGGCCTTTGATGCCACCCAGTTCCCACCTCGGATGCTGAAGAGTGTTGGGTTCGCTGTGGAGGCTGCAGTTGTGCCCCAGTTCCATCGCCCAGTTCACCATGGGTCGGTCCACCATGCGGTTTTGATGGATCTCCCGGTGGGTGAAGCAGGCGGAAGGGTAGGATTCCCGGCAGCTGTAGATGGCATTTGTTCATCGAAGGATAATGATATCCAAATAGAGTTTAAACACATCATTGTAATTAAAACCTCCAGTGCAGCGAAGGCGTTGTTTCCTAATGTTTTTTTGCAGATAATAGTGTTTCTATATGTTTATTTTATAATTACTATTTGTTTTTTTTGGAGGGCGCCATCCCACCGGTCGTCCTTTCATTGTTGCTTCGACGAAGCAACCCCCGGACGGAGTCATCCGGGATCGAGTTTCTCGCAGGCGGGATTGACCTCACAGGCGTTCCAGTCCTATCAGTGGCGCCTCGGGCGAAGCGGATCATGGGCAGTGGGCACCTCTGAACCGACTGGACCGACCACCCTAAAGTGAACAGAAGGTTTCGTCACCAGACATGGTCAACCTACCCTGGTGAGTGAAAGGGGCTCCGGGTTGGGACTCACAGCCTTGACCGAGGGCGGCCGAAAAGAGAGGGAGACCTGGTCGGTTGGATCTAGTAGACCTTCTGGTCAGCTGGATCGAGTGCAGAGACCGAATCTCTTCATGAAAACACATGGGGGTTCAGGTTGGGGGGACCTGCGCAGAAGACGTACGAATTCCGAGATCATTGATGGGACTGGAAGAGTTATATACATGCTATACATATATTGACCCTATATTGTTCTATGACCCATCCATGTAGGTATATCTCTTCCAGCTCCATTCGTCTGGTGTGGGACACCTCGTTGTTCTTGGTTTTTTGGTGAAGCCAAAGAAGCCATATAAACTTCAGCCAGCCTGGGGTCTCCTAGGGTCCACATACACCTCTCTTTTCAGTACGGTTTTCTGTGTTGTCTCCACTGTTCTTTGCCGGTGGTCTTGCCAGTCGAGTCCGTGAATGTTCGGAACCCGAACCTCGATCTAGACAAAGGCCACGAAAACGGATCCCAACAGGCCGCGAACGGATGCCAACAGGCCACGAACGCCGCAGACTGGCACTATTTGACCCAGACTGGCACGGGTGATCCCGATAGGTAGTCTAGGGGCTCCGCAGCCAGGGAACCTCGACACGAAGGTGCTGGTAGTAGAGCCAGTCGGTATAAGATGATCACTATTTGTGAGAACAGCCTTTACTGACTAACCGTTATCCACCATTTCTGGTTACCCAATTGGTTTCCATACATGTGGAGTTTTGGGGATCCTTTTCGAACACCGTGTTCTGCCAGGAATGGTGAAGAGGGCGAGGCAAGGGCTTCTGCGTTCGCAGCATCAAAAGGGGTCTCGTCCATTGGGGGTTGGGCCATTGGGAGTGACTGGCATGGATGGGCCACCTTTCATGCGGTAAATGGATGTAACTGGTCATAACTTATTCCAGTCCCATGGAGTGTGGAAGGGTCGTTTTTCGCCTTGTG